TGGTGGCGGCGATTGGATCATGGACTCCGGTGCCACCGCTCATATGTCCGCTCATCCGGGTAACCTCTCCTCCGTCCATCCCACTTCCACCCCCTCTCGCATCATCATCGGCAATGGTGTTGGTCTTCTCATCTCTCATGTTGGTTCTGCACCCTTTCCCTCTAACTCTAGGCCTCTTTCTCTTAATAATGTCATTGTTTCTCCTAATCTTATTCAGAACTTAGTTTCCGTTCGTAATCTTTCTCGTGATAATTCTGTAACTGTGGAATTTGACGAAGTTGGCTTTTCTGTTAAGGACGCTCGCACCAGGATGATTCTTCACCGCTGTGACAATCCCGGCGACCTCTACCCAGTTCAGTCGCCGTCATCTCTGGGTGGTCCTCGAGCTCTTTCCGCCAGCGTCGATCTTTGGCATGCTCGTCTCGGGCATCCTAGCACTTCTTCCCTTCGTCAAATAATGAGAGGATTTTCCTTTTCCTGTAATAAAACGGCCACTCACTCCTGTGAAGCCTGCCGGTTAGGCAAACATGTTCGCCTTCGGTTTAGTTCCTCTTCCACAGTTGCTTCTTTTCCGTTTGAATTAATTCACAGCGATGTATGGACATCTTCAGTACCCAGTAATTCTGGTTATCTTTACTATCTTGTTATACTGGATGATTACTCTCACTTTGCGTGAAAACATTTCCTCTTCGTAGGAAACCCGATGCTGCAGCCACCCTCATCGCATTTTATTCTTATGTCTCCACACAGTTTGGGCGACCCATACTCGCACTTCAAACCGACAACGGGAAAGAATTCGACAACCTCACCATTCGCCATCTTCTTTCCTCCCACGGCACTGTGTTTCGCCTCACATGTCCATACACCTCCCAGCAGAATGGCCGTGCCGAGCGCATCCTTCGCACCCTCAATGAGTGTGTGCATACCCTTCTTTTCCATGCCTACATGCCTTCTCGGTTCTGGCCCGACGCCCTCGCCACCGCCACCCTACTCCTTAACCCCCGACCATGTCGTCTGCGCTGGAACTATGCGCCTCACCATCTCTTATATGGCATTCCTCCCTCCTATGATGGTCTCTGTATTTTCGGTTGCCGTTGTTATCCCAACACCACCGCCACCACATCTCATAAACTCGTTCCTCGATCCGTTCCATGTGTCTTCCTTGGTTACCCGACCAACACTAAGGGTTATCGCTGCTATGACCCCGTGTCTCACCATGTCATCACCTCACGGCACGTGTACTTTGATGAGCTTGTGTTTCCCTTTGCACAGGAACAGGTGGCGCTATCTTCCCCTCCCGTGGCGGGTTCTTCTCCGCGCCGCCGCCCGCTGCCGGTCTTGGGTGCTCCGGCACCCCCGCCCGCGCGGCCCTCCTCCGGATCGGGGACGTCCGCGGCTCTCTCCTTTGGCTCGACGCCCTCGTCGCCTGGAGCCACGTCGACGTCGTCCCGGTCCTCCGCCATGCATGCTGGTCCGCATGTTGGGCCACCTGCTGGGCCGGCCTCTCCTGGCGCTGCCCTGACCCCGCCTCGGTCGCCCGCCCCGACCCCGCCTCGGTCGCCTGCTGGCGCGACCGTTGCCCCGACGCCACCTTGTTCTCCTACCGCCGCGGCCTCATCTCCAGCTCGGCCCGCTTCTTCCGTGGACGCTGTGGATGCCAAGGCGGTTTCTGGCGGTGCACCTGCAGCCTCGCGGCCACCCGCGGCTGCTCCGATGGCCGGGCCCGTCACGCGCTCGCACACCGGTGTCTTCCAGCCGAGCTCGCGTTATGCGGATGACTATGTCTGCACCGCCTCGACGTCCGCTCCCTCTCCGCTGTCGTCCTCGGTTCGGGCCGCTCTTTGCGATCCCCTCTGGATGGCCGCGATGCAGGAGGAGTTCGACGCTTTGCAGCAGAACCGGACTTGGCAGCTTGTTCCCCGTCCCCGGCACGCCAATGTGATCACCGGGAAGTGGGTATTCAAACACAAGCTTCGTCCTGACGACACTCTTGATCGCTACAAGGCACGTTGGGTTGTTCGTGGTTTCCGGCAACGCGCCGGTGTGGACTTCATCGACGCTCCGGTTGTTAAGCTCGGGACGATCCGCACTGTTTTACAGTTGGCGGTTTCTCGTGCCTGGCCGGTTCATCAGATGGACGTCTCCAATGCTTTCCTCCATGGTCATCTTGAGGAGCAGGTCTTCTGTCAGCAGCCCACGGGGTTTGTTGATCCAGCGTGTCCTGATCATGTGTGCCTGCTCTCACGCTCATTATATGGGCTCAAGCAGGCTCCACGTGCCAGGTACGAGCGCATCGCAGCGTTTCTTCATCAACTCGACTTCTGCTCTACACGCTCCGATGCTTCGCTGTTTATTTATCACCAGGGCACCGACACGGCGTATTTGCTTCTCTATGTTGACGACATCATCCTGACAGCATGCCCTTCTGAGCTCCTTCGCCGGCTTACTGATCGTCTCCATGCTGAGTTTGCCATCAAGGACTTGGGTCCGTTACACTACTTCCTCGGTGTTGAGGTGGTGCGCCGTCCTGATGGTTTCTTCCTTCATCAACGGAAGTATGCTCATGAACTTCTCGACCGTGCTGGGATGCTTAACTGCAAACCGGCCACCACGCCTATCGACACGAAGGCCAAGCTCTCCGCTACTGATGGTACTCCCGCTCCGGATGTTGCCTTCTACCGGTCCATTGTTGGTGCTCTCCAGTACCCCACTCTCACTCGGCTAGAGCTTCAGTACACGGTTCAGCAGGTCTGCCTGCATATGCATGCTCCTCGAGACGTTCACTGGACTGTCGTTAAGCGGATTCTCCGCTACATCCACGGTGCTATGGATCTTGGTCTTACTCTGCGCGCCTCCACTGCCACTGATCTGGTCGCCTACTCCGACGCCGACTGGGCTGGCTGCCCGGACACCCATCGCTCTACTTCGGGTTACTGCATCTTCCTTGGACCGTCCCTGGTGTCGTGGTCGTCCAAGCGGCAGCCCACCGTCTCGCGGTCTAGCGCCGAGGCTGAGTACCGCGCTGTGGCTAATGTTGTTGCTCAGTGTTCCTGGCTTCGTCAACTTCTTTACGAGCTCTCATGTCCTGTTGAGAAGGCCACGATCGTCTACTGCGACAACGTCTCCGCCGTCTACCTCTCCGCCAACCCGGTTCATCATCGTCGCACCAAGCACATTGAGCTTGATATCTATTTTGTTCGGGATCAGGTGGCTCTTGGCCATGTTCATCTTCTCCATGTACCCACCTCCCAACAATTTGCC